TGTATTGAGAACACTGTAAGAAGATATCAACAAAAGACTTCATAAAGCGAGAGGTTAACATATAATGGGTCATTTCTTAATACATAAATTATAAGCTACCATATCTGTGTCTCTCCCCATTCCATCCCACTCAATATTCTATGATATTGTTAAAGGAAGAGTTTACATTGAAAATCACAAAGCATATCTTCTTAAACTGATGATGGAAAATACAGGAAAAAAAGATGGAGACCCTGTATTATATAAATATTTACACAATCCTTACAACAATATACAAAACAACTTTCTTCCTTTCAAATGACTTTATACATTTTTCTTTATTTATCCCTTTTCTTTTTCTTTTCTTCTTTCATTCATTTCAACTTTCTTTATTATTGTCTTTTATTTTTTCATTTTGCTTACTTTTATTTGGATCATTATTTTTTTCTTAAATTTTTTTCTTTTTTTTTCCAACAATAAAATTTATCATAAAATTAAACAAATATATATTACCCACTAAGATGTATAAGAGTTTACTGAAATGTTGATCCACTCAAAATCTTTTCTTTTTGTTTAAATTAACAAAGAGTCATACAAAGGTGGAGAGCTCTATTCTTTATAAACAGGCTTCTCTTAGCATTCATAGCATTCTTAAGATTCTGTAAAATGAAAGAGGGAATAATGAAAAGAACAAATAAATGCAGTATTTTTTTATAATAAATATATAAAAAGTTTTTAACCCAGCAATCAAATTTTACTTCATGGAAAATCATAAAACCAACAATCTAGTTCCTAGTAAATAAAGTGTTAAATGACTTAAGATAACCAAGCAAGAATAACTTGTAAATGCTTTTTCCCCTACTACAATAGTTCAAGCCAGTGATTCTTAACCACTACGCCATGGCACATTAATGTGCTACATGATCCTCTTAAGTGTATCATGAAATATTTTTACGGCATACATATATATATATATATATATGTGTGTGTGTGTGTGTGTGTGTGGAAGTAGTAATGGTACAGCATTAGTTTTTGGATAAATGAATAAATATTAAACATTTTTCTTTTCAAATAATTCAAATCATAAGACTACGCTCAACTGAAGAAACAAGGCCCATTTGACCAAACATTGAAAAATTCATGAAAAACCACTAGGCACAGGTTTCACACTAAATAAACTGCACAAATAGTTGAATAGAGACATTGAAATAAAGAAAGTTCATATTTTGTATGTGTGTTTTTAAAAAGTCCATGGTTTTATTTCATAACATTTAAATGTATACCCTTTAAAAATTTTGCTAAGTGTGCCATGATATTTTCATTTGCTCCTAGGTGGGCCTTTAATGTAGTCAGTCAATCACTTAAGCATGTGCCATGCATGATACATATTTAGGCGATCATGTATCTTTTGATACATGACTGACAAGGCAGATTATTTCACTGCAATAAGTTGCCATTTCTTTCTGCAGTAGACTAGTTACCATCTAAGGCTATAGAACCTGGTCTGTCCTGCTATTTACCCATAGCTGGGGGGGAGAAGATGATTCATACCTTTCCCAAAGGTATTAGCACATAAGTGAATGTAATGGAATAGAATTCAAACTCAACTCTCCGATTCATCAATCCGAGCCGCTATCCATTACTCCACCGTGGTTTAATGTAGTATTGTTGCATTAAAAATAATGGGTAATGATAGTGTCATGCATTATTCTCTTGGGTAGAGAAGCTGGACTTAAGGCTAAGATGAAATTGGGGTCGGAAACATATTTGGAGTCCTATGGTATTAGGAAAAGATGGAAGATTGAGGAGGAAAAACTCCTGGTAATAATTAAGACTACAAAAGATTAAATCAATTCAATAATTAATGTGATTTGGAACAAGTAAGTACCTGTAGGGAGGATTGTGATGGTAAGATTTTAGTGAGCTAAGCTAAAATTGGTTTCAAGTTACAAAGACTTCTCCATGACATTAATCAAGATTTTACATTAGGCATTTTTCTAGAGAAACTATTTCCATCAGGCAATTTTAAAAGAAAAATAATAAAAGTGATTCTGAGTAGCATCTTGTATTCAAAGATGAATTAATTTAATATTTAACTGTTAATTTACTCTAGCATGGTTAATCTGTTATACTAGCAAAATTTAGATATTTCATAAAAACAAATATATTACTTAACTATTTGAAATAATTTAGATTAGTCCTAAAAAGGCCATAAACCCTAATTCCTATTATGGGGTTGGATCAATATGTTCAAAGTCTGATATAGCTAGTAGATGAATTTTTACCTTCAGTTTTTACAGTCTGTGATTGATGGTCAAATGTTAGAGTAAGTACATTGATAAGAAAAGCGATTACGTTGAAAAATATTTGTATAAAATAATTTTCTTTTCATCATTAGTTTACAGAATTACCGAGGTATCTATGCCCAATGAAATCTTTTTAAAATATCTTCAAAAACTGAAAGCTAATTCATTTTAAGAAGCCCAAATAACAAAATGGAATTTAAGGCTATTTATCATTCAAAGGGCTTCATTGTTTTTTTTTATAATAAAAATGAAACCATTAAATCTTTAGATAGTCAAACACTATCCTTGATATAGACAACTCTTACCCCCATAAATATAGCAAATTATATATATTTCACTTTCTTTTTTTTTTTTTAAATGGCTCGTGGTGTTTCTTGAAAGTACTCAGATATAGGAAATTTCATATCTTAGCATCAATCAGAAACAAAGGTGTTGAAGAGATAAATAAAAAAAAATAAAAAAAAGAAGTAAAACAAAAAAATGAAAATTTTACTGGATTTTTAATAAAACTTACATGTGCACACACACACACACACATATATATATACACATACACACACCTCTCATCAACAGACTAATAGGGGAAGGGAGTGGTCCATTAAAACTAATTGTTCGTAGATGGGAAGGGATTATTTTTGAGTTATAAAACAACTATAATAACTACCAGTAGTTATGATCATAATGTAAATACTATAAATATGTATATATGGTGTAGATATATACTATATAAATAATAGATCCCTCGCAGGTACTTTCTTACACACTAAAGTATCGTACTTTATATACTGTATAATTGTCCATGTTTACAGTTAAAAGGCCTGTCACTACCACCAAGCGGTCACTTTGAGAACAAATATGACTCGTTCCACTAAACCCACAAACTTCGAAATACATCGCTGACGATTTGGAAGTTTTTTTTACCAGCAGATTTTTTCCATTGCATCAAAAGTCTGTTGATGGTGGGAGTCTGTAGATGAGAGGTTTGTCTGTATAATATATATATATATATATATATATATGTTTTAAAATGATGAAGCACATTTTTTCGTTAAAAAGGAACCTTTTTGTCCAAACTTCTTCAGAAAGATTTGCTAAAAAAACAACAAAAAAAACATATATATATATATATATATATATATATAGAGAGAGAGAGAGAGAGAGAACCCTGTATATAACATCGAAGTATGAAACAGTCACCATACAGTCAACACTGTGAAGGGGAGAGAGAGAGAGTTGATTTATTTTTCTTTCTTTTTTTGTACAGCTAATCAACTCATTGTGGTTTATTTAAAGTTGAAACGTATTTTAGATTATAATTATTATTATATTTGTGAGGGGGAAGTGAGTATTGTATTAACATTTTTTTTTGTGGGGGGGGGTAACAATGATTTTTTTAAATACAAATCTTACTATTTACCCCTTAGCTGGGGAGAGGAGCTGGATTCATGCTTTACCCAAGCATATTTCCACATAAGTGAGTGTAATGAACCAGACTGGGATTCAAACTTGGCTCTCAAATTTCTCATTCTGAGCCACTATCTATTACACCACCCACACATCATCCACTATATGAGAGAGATAATGATGTAAAATCTATGTAAGTATCTAAAAAGATAATTACATATATTTACTAAAATGTTTAGTCTGAGAGTAACACCAAACTGAAGAGATATTCTGTCATATTGGACATCTCTACTTAGATTTTCTTTGTTGTTGATTTTTGTTTTTATTCAAGAATGGCACAATGCAAATTTAGTCACACTTTACGACATGAGGTTTTTGAATCTCAATGCTACGTTTGCTCTTCAATATTTGCTCAGCGGCTGGTCAAGACCAAACTATCTCCCACACCCCTCCGAGACTGGACATTCTCTTTATTAACTCTTTCTTTACACAGGAGCGATTGAGATTTAATTTCCTGGACTTGTATGTCCAGTTCTGACCAACCTCTATTCTGCCCTTAACTATACAGCTTACTATAGGGGAGGAGATGTCTAGAGATGGAGCAATGGTCAGCACTGGATACAAAGGACAGAAAGCAAAGAAAGCACAAGGAGGCATGTCACAGAGTTGGTTGCTTTAGGCAGAGTCTGTACAAGGTTTCCTTGTATGTAGTTATCTTTCAGCCCCAGGTAGAGGAAGTTGACTGATGGTGAGCGTACCATGACAACATGACTAATTTGGAGACACTATGCTTTGTATTTGTAGTACATCTCCAGCCCCTCTCCTATCAAGGTGTCAGTCAAATCTCTTGATGTTATCATTCTCGTGAATATTACATCCTCCTAGTCTCATCATAGCCATCGTAACTGGATTTGGGTAATCACAAAGTCATTGGTGTAAAGAAAGAATTGAACAACAGCAGAAAAGGCTTCACCCAAGATGGAAATAGCAATGAAGTTATTTATAACTTTTGCTAGTGTAGCAAATTGCATAATAATTCAAAATGATTAATTGATTCATTTTCTATGACTTATCAACACTTTTCAGGTTATTTAAAACCAGAAAATATTGTAAGAATGTTTCTTTTGGGGATAATAATAATTCAGTGATACAAGTCTTACTAATTATCCCATAAATGGGGTAAGAAAAGGTGGAGCCATACTTTTCCCAAGGGTATTTGAACATAAGTGAATATAATGAACCCAACTGGAACTCAGCTCTCCAATTTCCAATTCCAAGCCATTAACTATTCCATCACTCTCACACCCAAGCTTACAGAACATGGTATTCCCAAGTGGTCACTCATCTAGGTACTGACCAGGCTCAACATTGCTTTATTTGGGTGATCAAATAGGAACCAATGTTTCAACATGATATGGACATAATGAAAACTCCAGAAATGTAGTTCTGAATATTTATAAGTTTACAAGTGGTGACAAAAGAATATATATATATATTCTTTTGTCACTACTTGTAAACTTATATATATATATATATATATATATATATATCCATCCAAGTACAGGGTCGCTATAGATGGAATAAAATTCCAACAACTAAAAACACTATTTTTAAAAGAGTGCTCAACACTAAGAAGAGCAAATAATATTTATTCAAAATTATAACATATGCATGTTATAACATCACTACAAAAATTTCAATTCTGTTTCAACATTACTGGTGTCTTATCAAGTGATGGTGTTGATTGCAAAATAAAGGGTTTTAAGAGTTCAAAAACCAACCAAAGCCCTCAGTAGGGGAAATATTGTTACGTAACCTATGACGACCAGTCAGAATACAAGTATAGAGTAATTTGAAATAACGTGACAATATACACTAAGTACAATTTATTAGCACATTAAAGTTAAGATTAAATTAGAAATCAATATAATAAATAGTTTTAATTTTACAGTTAAATTTAAAATTAAAAATTACAAATGTCAAATTCTAAATCTAACTGAGCATCAAGTTTAACATTACAAAATTATTCAGAAATGAAACTAGGAGAAAAAATATATTTTTTCTCTTAGTTTGTCATAAATAATTTCCATTTATCAACCTTATGATTAAAAAATAAGATACAATTACATTTTATTCAACTATATATTCCCCACTATTTACAATGACTTGTTGCCCCTTTCAGGTAGCTCTTTGATACCTTTGGGGTAAAATTCCACAGGTTTTGATGTAAAAAATCTTTCAACAAACTCTTTAATTGGGTTTTTATTAGAGAAAGTTTTCCTCATCAAAAAGAAAAAGTGGTAATAATTGGTTGGTGCAAAGTTAGGTGAATATGGTAACTGGGATATAACAGGCAAAATAAGTTCAAAAATGTTTTTCCAGGCTTATTCTTAATGTATGCTTTCATTAAACAATACAGACAAGTGTTGTCCATTTATTTTATGTAAATTCTTTTCATAACGTCTGATAAGTTTAATAACATTATCATTAAACGGAGAAAGAAAATCACAATATTGATCCATATTTTTAATCCAATCTAAGCTTTTAAACACATAAGCCATTATCAAAGATGTCAGTTACTGTACAACATATTAAGCAATATACGGACAAGACAGTGATGATAGTCTGTTTCTGTTTACATGGATGATTTCCTAGCAACGATAAACATGTGCATATAAAATGCTAGAAGCGAAAATCGCACCACAGCTCATCATCATCATCACTCTCGTCTGTATATTCATGTATGAATGAAAAAATGCTGCCTAAATACACACAATATATATATATATATATATATATATATATATATATATATATATATATAGTGAACTCTCCCATCATATTCGACATATGAGGGTCAAGCAGCTCAGTTCCTAGGAACCAACAGCCCAGATATATTTGATTATAGTGGTAAAGGCTTTGTGCAGAACCAACCATACTTTTTGAAGGGCTGAATACAGAGACCTGGTGCACCACATGCCACAAGGTCCCCAAACGACCCTCTGCAGGTTTTAAATTCAGAGTTGTCCATCACCTAGTCCAGTTACTATCCAAGGGTATAGAACCCAATCTGTCCTGCTATCTACCCATAGCTGGAGGGAGAAAAGGATTAATACCTTTCCCAAGGGTACATAAGTGAATGTAATGGATTCAATTGGAATCCAAACTCGGCTCTCTGATTACCCAAGCTGAGCCACTATCTCCATGCCTCCTCTTTATATATATATATATAAAAACATGTGTAGCAAAATTATGGAAAATAAAGCATAATATTTTAAAAAATAAAATAAAATCAACATTACAACCAAAAATGTTTGCGGTTTCTCTCTTCTTTTTAATATACACACTTTTCTCTTGTTGCAACTACTATAAACTCTTCCCTATATATATATATATATATATATATATATATATATATATATATATATAAAACCTGTAGAACAACATTTCTGCCTACAAAAACATGATTTTAAAACCCATGCCAAATTCGCTATAATTGAGAGAATAGAAAAGTTCAGAGCAGATAACATTAGAAATATTTTAGAGTGCCATGAAAATAAGTGGATCTGATGTTTAAAAATGCACTATCCAGACAGGCTTAATCACAAATTTAGCAATATAGATAGTATTAATATATAACCCCACGAATCAGGACCTACCCACATTTCACACCCACACAAGGCAGACATGCTTGCAGAGGTGTTGAGGCCTCATACTTATACACACACCCACACAAATATACACACTTACACACATCATACTCATTCATTCCCTAATGAACCAAATGATATCACACACACACACACCCATAGTAATATACACACATCATACTCATTCATTCCCTAATGAGCCAAATGATAACATACACATACCCGTAGTAATATACACACTTACACACACCATACTCGCTCACTCACCCCCTAAGAACCAAATAACACACACACTTAACAGAGACACATGCCCTTTACAGGAACCAATAAAACTGTCAAAATAACCAAGGGAATTCAGAGCAGCATGAATCCATCCAGCTCTTATCTTAAATAATGACTTAAAAAGACTGTTTGACCAACACAAGGACAGACCAAAATTCATGTTGAAAAAAAAAAAAAAAAAACCAAACAAATGAAAACTACAGACAAAAGTCCATTTTCTCCATCAAGACATTCATTTCTTTAGTTCACTGCTACTAGCAAGCAGAAAATTTTTTTCTCCTGATGATGGCCACACTGGCCGAAACTGGTTGAGGAATCTAACTGAAATAATAATAAAAACAAAAGAATATTAATATACAACCCAGTGTGTCTGAAGATTTTAATTTTTTAATATTTTTTATTGTTCAAAATATTATATATATATATATATATATATATATATATATAAAAGAAAAAAAAGACAATAGGAAAACTGTGTAGTTTTAGCCAACACATTTTGCCCAAGGTGGACTTTTCAAAGCAAAAAAAAAATGAAATGAATTTATTGAAACAAAGTATCTATAAACAAAAAACAAAATGTTATTAGTAACTAGAAGAATAGTTTTTCTATTGTCTTTTCTACAGGTTAATTCTGATATATATATATATATATATATATATAATATATCATATATAATATATATAATATATTATATATATATATATATATATATATATATATATATATATCCCCAACCATTTTTACTTCATCAAATTTTCTCTGATCCCATTTTATAATTATTTAAAAAGTGCAAAACATTTAGTTTTTACCAAAAATAATTTGCAAAAATGCATTTCTCTCATATGAGTGGAAATTAAAAATGTCTTGGCCCAACCAAGTGATTAAAAAAAAATCTATCAAATTTTTGCAAGTATGACATACTTCCAAGAACTTTTCATCAATTTTTTATAGATGTCTGCATCCACTTCTTTGTGTTGAATAATCTATGAATAAATTCTCAGTAATGTGTGTAAACTTAACAGACCTCTAAATGAACTCTCACCAACATGTTAGAGATACTTACTTAGTGAGGTAATAACCAAATATGTTATTTTATCATATTTTACACATTGATCACAACTAAGGAAACTCCCATTAATAATGGAAAGAGTGATAACAGCTACTGGACTTGAGAAACCTATTTTCCCAAAAAATTCTTTCAAGAGAAAGATTTTATAAATTTCAACTGAAAGTGGTACTGGCAGCTTGGTCAAAGAATGGTAAATGTAGGAAAATGATTAATATTACCATTACCATTACTTACAAGTAAAATATAACACCTTTTAAAGTATCCCATGCACAATTTTTTTCAAGAAAAATTTTGTTAGAAAGAAAGGAAATATTAATGAACTGTTATATCAGTCCTATATGCTAGTGAATGCGGAACAATTTCCTCACAGATGAAGAAGAAACAACATGGAGCAAAAAGAAAAAAAGTAATGGACTGAACATGTAACCAATGACAAAGTTTTAGAGAAAATAGAAACAAAAAGGACATTTATACTTAACATCAGGAAGAGAGTTGACATTTCTCAGGTACATGTTAAGGAAAGAGGACTTAGAAAATTTGATACTCACAGGACAGATTGAAGGCTCTTAAGCAATTTTATATTTAACAATTATTGTAATCATAAACCTACACTTAACTTATTGTACCTATCTTTATCTGAAAGTATAAAATGGTATAAAATTATAAAATTCTTTTGATAAAAACTTAGGTAGTTTAGCAAATATAAACAAATATGCATAGATGACATTCTTAAGACATTAATCTCATAGATTAAATGAATCTATAATCCTTCACCAAAATACAGTTATTTAACTTTTCTACTGAAAATATTTTTTATATGAAGTTTTCTGAGAGAAATACAGATTTTACAAGGATTTGAAAAAATATATTACTGTATTAAAAAAAAAAATTAATACATTGATTTAGAAAACATTATGTTTATTGAAAAGCATTAGTTTTTTTCTTTTTGCTGCAAAACAATGGGAGCGGAATTTTTAGTGTTTCATAGTGAAATTGGAATCACAGATTAGCAAGTTGAAGCCAATGGAATATTGGTCATTTCTAAAATCTTACAATACACTTTTTGAGTCAAAAAATAGTGAAACGTATAGACAACATCTTATGGCAAAAATTTTAAATGGGTAAAAGGGGATTTCGAACAACTGCTGAAGATTAAGCAACAGAACAAAAATACTCATAAATGAAACCAGTAAGCAGAAATATATTGAACTTAAAATAGTTTTGGCAATGTTTAACTTTTGTGCCTGCAAAAAAAACTGTGTCAAAAGGACAGTTATTCCATTGACACTGCTATTATTGTATATACTTTTGACTCCCTCAACAAGATTATAAAAATATGGGAACCAAGTATAATGCGATATTTATTATTTACCTTTTATAAAGATTTATTATTTAATATTTTATAAAGAAATGAATTTA